TTTTTTCCTGCTTGAAAAAGTGACATTAATTTATATAAGGTCAAACCACTCTGAAGGTTTTCGAGCCTAAAAAAAATATAACACTTACACTCTCTGTTGACGGTCTTGTCCGAAATTCAGAATGGATTCATTCGCCTATTAATCAACTGCGATGTAAAAAGTTACTGAATTTAATAGAACATAAATACAGTAAGACCCCGCTTAACGTGGTAAAGCGTTCCTAGAAGACAAGGCACTAAACGAAACAAAGTTAATAGTACTTAGTTTGAAAAAATTACATGTCCTTTTTAAATACTTTTAAGTAATTCACACACACAAAAATATTATTAAATGAAATAAGTGAAGATTTTTTGATCAAATTAAAATGTCGCACAATTTATAATTCAGTACTAAATGCAATACGCACTCAACACGATACAATCAACAACTCAGAGTGCCAATTGGCTAGCGTATGTCGTATGATCACTTTTCAACGTATTATTACAGGGCTGTGGAGTCACGTAATAATCTACCGACTCCAACTCCGACTCCGACTCCGACTTTTCCTTATCATCCGACTCCGACTCTGACTCCGGCTAAAACATCAAAACTCCACGACTCCGACTCCGACTCTACAGCCCTGTATTACTATCACTTTGCCCCACTAGGTGATAGCAGTATTCATAATGACCTGTTAATTTGATAAATTAATGAATATTTATCAAACTGCGCGCTCTTTTTTGGTCATTATTCATAATGACTGGGCATTATGAATAATGTCCGAATAATCACTTTGTCCATAACATATATTGATATATGTGAAAGTATATATGGCCCATTTTTCGAAAAAAAATTGGCAAGATCTTCGCTATGTCGAGTAGTGCGTTCGCTTGTTTACGCTTTTACAATGCCGAATTTTCAATTGACTGAACACAGGGAAGAACTTTGAACTCCTCTATCTCCCGTTCTAGGTGGAATTTTAAAATTATCTTATCATTTCGTGCAGGCGCAGAAACACAGAAAAGAAAAATATCGAATAAACACGTTCGAAAATCAAAATCTAATTATTAAATTAAAAAACATTCTACAGTGATATCTCAGGATACGAACGCCCCAGCATACGACATGAAATTCGAACATATTTTTGCTCCACGGTACGAACAAAAACTCACCGTACGACGTTACATTAGTTAGCAGCAGTAGCGTAGCGTAAGGGGGGTAGCAGGGTCGGCCCGCCCCGGGTGGCACTTTTTAGGGGGCGGCAAAATTTGACAATAAATAATAATATCTTGAAAGAATTTGAACCATTTTATTTCATATTTTCGTGCACCTACGATTCGGACCGATTCAAATGAGTACGGAATAGTGGGAATAGTGTTACCATCCGACTCGCCGTCCGGGGATATCTTACGCGACCTGTCGACCTTTTTTCTTTTTTTCTTGTACGATTCATTTGTACTCATATACACCTCCAATATCCAATAGGGCTAAGTCATCTACATTACTTGCGTTACTCCTACCCAAGTCTCCCTAGTCGCTAACTGTAACTGATTTAGAACCAGCATGCACTGCAAATTATTCTTTATTGAAAAATGATATACGCATGCGTCAGGAACTTCTGTTCAAACAAACCTCACCTGTGGTCAGGGTCGGCGATTTTAAAAAGGTGGCAACACTAGCACGGAATTTTTCATTACTTATTCTGTGACGAAACTGAATTTTAGTGTTGTAAATTAAGATACCTCAATAAGGGGCCGGCGAAATTTTCCTCCGCCCCGGGCGGCTGACACCCACGCTACGCCACTGAAAGGTGGAACTGGATTTGTGCTATTTTCTAGTCATAGTTATAAATTACAAATGCTTTATTCGTAATCTGTATTAATAAAAAATAACAGTAAGAAAACTTTTTAGATTACTTATAAATAAATAAGATTTTTTTCATACGCAACGTCAGCCGTTTCGCCCGATGCGGAGAGTAAAATAGCGGGTTCATCATCTGTTCATCATACTGTCATAGTTTTCGTTATAAGTTAAATAAAGTGAAATGTTGTGAGTGTGGTTTAAAATATAGTCATAGTCATGTACAGTTATATAATATTCGTGACTTTAATTCTTTCTTAGTAATAACATAAAACACTATACACATAAAAAAAATTCTACTAAACAGGAAAACAATGCGTGACATGATTAAGATTTTCATGTAAACAGAGGAGCATTATGCCCTCACACTTTCGGGGTATGCCGGATAACTAAGAGGCCAGTTTTATTAAGGATAGGACTGGCAAGAGTGTACTGTGTGTACATATATAAACACGTTTGAAATAAATAAGTCATTAATTAAATAACTCACCACCCAGCAGCTTTAATAAGTAGGTTTCAAGAGCAGGTTTAGTCGATTACTTTTTAAGTGGAAAAATTGGATAGCCCGAGAAATTTTTCGGATAGGCGACAGCCCAATAAAATGCTGGTGACTGTCGAAATATTTTTATTAATAACTTGAATTACGTAGAAAATTTCCTAATTTCTGGTGCATTTTCTAGTTATTCACTAATTTTAATGTTTAAAAATTGAACTTACGTTTTTGATTAACTGCTAAAGTTCAACTCTTATTGACTGATTGATGTAATAAAGTAATGCAACACAACGGCGACCTGCGAAAGGGCAATGCTTCCGGAAATGCTTTTCTGCGGAAACTACTCGTTATTTAAGTGTCAGGGAGGCGAAAACTGCCCACAAAACTCCACGCGACAAGTCCGTTAATTAGCCCAAACCCGCTACCTGTATTTAGCTGTTTTAGCCGCTTTACCCCGTAATTTTATAAAGTATTATTTAGTTACATTAAATAAACAAATATTGTATTTTTATTACGAAGTTAATACAAAATTTAATATAATATTACATATAATATGCTTATCACATTTTTTGGTATTAAAAAAGCGAAAAGGAGTAGCGTGGCACACGAAAATAAAAAAGTTTAATACTGCCAAACTCTGTTTTAAGACCACTTTCGGTAATAAATAATTTTATTATTCTGCTCAGAAAATGTCTAGTCTATCCCTAACTTAGATTGATTCTACAAACTAAAATTGTTGAAAAAAAATTAAAATTCTCACCCCGACCTTACCGCCTCTAGTGGCCAGGATGTGAACTATATTTTTGCGGGAAAGTTGCTGAAACTATTCGATTAAGTAGACATTCTCTAGACATCGATCTGTCGAACAATTTAAGTAGATTCGGGGAGCCGTATCTTTTATTCATACGTTACTTCAGAAATGGTTACTGTTTTAGACTTTTACCACGGAATTCCTATCGGAACAGCACGTGTTACGACAATATCTTCCAGTTGACATCACCACGTGTTCGTGAATAACGTCTCGCGCCATCCGCCATTGGAGATTGGATTTCGGTGAGTTTTTAAATTATTTTCGAACCGTTATCGAGCGAATTTTTGCTTCAATTTACTGTAGCGTGTTATTTACTGTATTTTAGAATTTTTATCTATATGACTTTGTAATGATGTACCGGTACACGCTGTTTGTCTATTCCAGTGTTTCTCAACGGGAGCGATTAGTAACAATTTATATTTTGGGGGCGAAAAAACTATATATTTCAACGCTTTCCCCGTGTAATACCACAACTCTGGAAATCTCTAAAACACAGACTACTTTATTTAAACGTTACAAATTAGATTGCTATATCTACATGGTCGCGTAGCAACCATAGTTTGCGAATTTTTATAATTTTCCGTTCCATTTCGAAACATTTTCGAACAGCAAGAAAATCTCGATTTACATTGGAGTTCCATTTAGCCTCACCGCTTTTTCAAGAAGTGCTACAACTCTGATACANTTACAGAAAACGTTTTTGCATATTGTTATTGTGATTTAAATTTTTTACATTTGTCACCATTCGTATTATTAGCTTTGTTATAAAGTTAAAGTTCTTTATAACTTTGTGTTAATAACTTTATCTCATAGGTGTCTTCGTTTTATTTTAATATGTGTGATGTCATTGTAACCAACTATCAACCACTACCATAAATCCTATTAGACATCTAAATCCATACAGGAAACAGACAAATGCAGAAAACCAAACTATTTATCTAACCAAAATCATTATAAAGATAATAACACAAATTTGTGTTGTTCCTGGAATTAAACTGTTGGAAACAATTGGATGATGTTTTGATACAGAATGAAAATAATTATTTTAAATGGCATAATTAAAAACGATACAGTGCATTCTCGCCATCAACTACTTTCTGAGTAGACACGAGGAACACACGATTTTTAATCTTCACGAATGTCAAACCATGTAATGATTCCAATTTTCCTAAGTAAACGCGTTCAACTGCAAATGTGATATTCTTCACTTGTTTCCATATCTACGTTTCTTTCCTCATTACTTTTTCCTTCTGGATTTGATTTCCTCTCCCATTTTCGCGCCTTTCTTATTTACTGATTAATTTAAGTCCTGCAAGTTCAGAGACAAGACACGAAGTATATTGGTTTGTTATCATCCAATAAAACATTGGAAATTTCCTTGAACCTGATTTGTTAAAAGCCACAGTGTGTTCTACTTCATTGGACATTCTTGCAGGTTACACCCTACATAACGCGTATTGGCCGTGAATCCTTTCCGAACTACATCACAGTCGCGAATCGGAGATAACAAAAGTATTTTAGCGACCAATCCACCAGCAATACAGCTAAATCAAAAATAAGCGTTTTAATAACTGTTATAACGTTTAATTGTGCAAAGTTCTCACGAGTTGTTCGAAAAACACACAGATTACATATGAGTAATTGCATTTATTAACTCAAGTTACAAACAAGTCGTTAACAGAACATGGCAAATAGTCACAGGTTTTATGATTCGTTAATTAACAGAACATAGCAATCGTAAACCGAAAGCAAAACAAAACATGTGTTCAACTTTTGAACAAAAATGAAAATACTTAATGGCACAGATGGAAGGGAGAGGGTCAGTATCCACTCCATGAGCCAGCTCTGTCCAGGCCCTTATTCATGCGTGCAGGCATAATTGCCACAACATTTTAAGCAAAGTATGCCTTCACGCAGTTTCTCCCAACGACCTTGGACGACTTGCCAAAGGTCGCTGGGAGTCGCCGCCTGAATAGGCTCGCGACAGAGCTCCACCCAAATGTTGTCTATAGGGTTTAGATCTGCCCCTCTCCCCGGCCATCCCATGTCCTGCACCTGTGGATGCTCCTCCATCCATTGGGATGTTAGTCTTGCAGTATGGACTGGAAAGCAGTCATGGACGAACCAAAACGGCTCTTCTCCAAACACTGCAGTCACAGACGGTAACATGTCGTCTTCCAATATCTGTATGTATTGTGCTTCATTCAAGTTCCCTTCGATCATAACCAATTCCCCTGTCCCCTACTGCAGACATTCATCCCCAGACACCTGCAAACAGAAAAGTCTATATTCAGGTTGTGATGTATAACACATGAAAATTCCGGTTTAAAAGAACAAATTAATTGATGGTCTGCAAGGTTAATGACATAAATACACAAATTATAAATACTCACCTAACGAAAATCGACCGCTTCGTTGGGTGCGCCACACGTATTGCTCCTCGTCTCTTGTGGAAGGTGAGCGACGCACCCAAACGGTCCCGCTACTCTCGGAGCAGAAGACCTTCTCGTCGGAAAAGATTGATATGGTCTTCCAATTGATATGGTCTTCTGCAAACCGGAGGCGGTCACGTTTATTGGCTGGGGTCAGGTTTTGCTTTTGTGCCGCTCTTCGTCCGTACAGTTTGTTTTCTCTCAACCTATTAATGAAATAAATATATATGTAATATCCTGCTTTCTATATTTCTGTATATGCAAGAACACGTTACTAAAGTTGACTTTCTGGCGGTTCGTTATATCGATAAAAATGTATTCGAAGGACGTGTGACTATTATCCTACAAATGTTACATACCTTCTCTTCACCGTGTCCGTTGAGACATTAGGGTGCAGATCTTGTTGCAAGACTCTGGCCGTATTAAAGGGATTAGCTCGACTGGTAGATGCCAGCAGAGCGTATTCTTCAGCAGTCGTTCTGTACGGTCTACCAGTCGACTTCCCGAAGACAGGGAATTCGTCTCCCGATGGAGTTTGATTATTCGAGACACACTTCTCGGCGATATTTTCAGAATATCGCTGATTTCTGCTACGGTTTTGTTCTACGCCTTGTGTCTAATCACAAGTGCTCTTATCTCTTCACTAATCGCTTTCGGAATTTCGAACGAATTACTCCAGCACGGTAGCAAAGGCTTTATATGCTCGTCTCACCGGCTCTGAATGCGATGCTAACGCCATATGGCAGATAGTTGCGGAACTACAAATTACCATATCCGCATGCAGAATACCTATTAGTCTGCATTATATCGTGGAATATTTGTAATATAATAATTATATAATAATAATAATGATATAATAACCATAATATAGATATAATAATAATAATTATTATTATATCGTTATTATGATTATTATATTATTATAACCGAGCTGTTTTAATTAGATGAAAAAATTCTGTCTCCCTCTCCAGAAGCTAATTTTAAAATTTTTACATCGGTCTAAAAATACGTTAAATTTTTCGAAAAATCGCAATAAACCACATCTAAAATAACATAAAATAAAAGTCGAGTTCTTCAGGGTAATCCTTATCTCTCTTTTTCTCCCCTGCAGAGGAAACTTATAAAAATTTCTTTTTATTGTTCATTCTCGTGACGTACCCTAACTGTGTACAAAATTTCAACTTTCAACACTTAACCGTTTGGAATCTTTGCTTATTGTAAAAATAATAATAATAATAATTGTTATTTCCTTCCATATTTTTCCGATAATTATTTTCTTCCATAAAATTAATTGATTTTGGACTAATTTGACTCAACGTTTCTAAAATACGTATAATTTTTTGGGAATAATCCATATAAACTATGCTATAAACAAAAAAATTGTAGGATTACTAACCGAGTGTGCACCGTTCGACGACGCCATTGCTTAAGCTTCTTTTCGTGGTGGAGCGGCGCATCAAACGAGAGGACGCGTCTTTCCTGATAAATTATTTTTCTGCAAAAAAATTTGCTGAACTTTGGAGACATGATTAATATAAATATAATTTTTATGAACGTTAAATAATAAATGGTTTTTAGTAGGTCCGCTGCTCGTTTAAACTTAACGGTTTGTGCAATATCCGTTATTGGTCTAGATTCGTCCAATCCTGTCGCAACACGAGTCGGCGATGAAGTTTTACCGTATTTTACGACTTTCTTTTACCGTGTTTATACGAATACGGTCGCTATTTTTTCGCCGCTATATACGAATCCGCATTATATGAACCCGTTTTATATGGGGTCTACTGTATATAAATACAGATATCGCGTATATGAAAAAAAAAATGACCAAAAGAGTGTTTACGATTGGTTACAACGCTACGGAAAAGCCTGGTACAGTACCAAACACAAACGAATTTTTCAAACTGTAAGAAATATTTTATAGAAATGAAGTGTGTTTACTTGTTCGTTCTTGGATACAATGGAATCCAAGAACGAACAAAGAATCATGCAGAGAAAAACCGTAATTTTTTAAATAACTCATTTAACTGTGAAGCCAATTTTAAGTATCCGATATACACTTATTGCTAATGTGATCGATAGTATTAAGCTCAATGTGCTTTTTTCATACATCTATTGATCAGAAACAAATTAGGAATTAAAGCCACAGTGTTTTATTTCTTAATTTTATTATAATAATTTAACGAAATAGTTAAAGTACATTTATTAAACACGGTTTAAATACATCAGTAAAAACTTTTAAATAAAATGAAATGTTGTGAGTGTGGTTTAAAATATAGTCATAGTCATGTACAGTTATATAATATTCGTGACTTTAATTCTTTCTTAGTAATAACATAAAACACTATACACATAAAAAAAATTCTACTAAACAGGAAAACAATGCGTGACATGATTAAGATTTTCATGTAAACAGAGGAGCATTATACCCTCACACTTTCGGGGTATGCCGGATAACTAAGAGGCCAGTTTTATTAAGGATAGGACTGGCAAGAGTGTACTGTGTGTACATATATAAACACGTTTGAAATAAATAAGTCATTAATTAAATAACTCACCACCCAGCAGCTTTAATAAGTAGGTTTCAAGAGCAGGTTTAGTCGATTACTTTTTAAGTGGAAAAATTGGATAGCCCGAGAAATTTTTCGGATAGGCGACAGCCCAATAAAATGCTGGTGACTGTCGAAATATTTTTATTAATAACTTGAATTACGTAGAAAATTTCCTAATTTCTGGTGCATTTTCTAGTTATTCACTAATTTTAATGTTTAAAAATTGAACTTACGTTTTTGATTAACTGCTAAAGTTCAACTCTTATTGACTGATTGATGTAATAAAGTAATGCAACACAACGGCGACCTGCGAAAGGGCAATGCTTCCGGAAATGCTTTTCTGCGGAAACTACTCGTTATTTAAGTGTCAGGGAGGCGAAAACTGCCCACAAAACTCCACGCGACAAGTCCGTTAATTAGCCCAAACCCGCTACCTGTATTTAGCTGTTTTAGCCGCTTTACCCCGTAATTTTATAAAGTATTATTTAGTTACATTAAATAAACAAATATTGTATTTTTATTACGAAGTTAATACAAAATTTAATATAATATTACATATAATATGCTTATCACATTTTTTGGTATTAAAAAAGCGAAAAGGAGTAGCGTGGCACACGAAAATAAAAAAGTTTAATACTGCCAAACTCTGTTTTAAGACCACTTTCGGTAATAAATAATTTTATTATTCTGCTCAGAAAATGTCTAGTCTATCCCTAACTTAGATTGATTCTACAAACTAAAATTGTTGAAAAAAAATTAAAATTCTCACCCCGACCTTACCGCCTCTAGTGGCCAGGATGTGAACTATATTTTTGCGGGAAAGTTGCTGAAACTATTCGATTAAGTAGACATTCTCTAGACATCGATCTGTCGAACAATTTAAGTAGATTCGGGGAGCCGTATCTTTTATTCATACGTTACTTCAGAAATGGTTACTGTTTTAGACTTTTACCACGGAATTCCTATCGGAACAGCACGTGTTACGACAATATCTTCCAGTTGACATCACCACGTGTTCGTGAATAACGTCTCGCGCCATCCGCCATTGGAGATTGGATTTCGGTGAGTTTTTAAATTATTTTCGAACCGTTATCGAGCGAATTTTTGCTTCAATTTACTGTAGCGTGTTATTTACTGTATTTTAGAATTTTTATCTATATGACTTTGTAATGATGTACCGGTACACGCTGTTTGTCTATTCCAGTGTTTCTCAACGGGAGCGATTAGTAACAATTTATATTTTGGGGGCGAAAAAACTATATATTTCAACGCTTTCCCCGTGTAATACCACAACTCTGGAAATCTCTAAAACACAGACTACTTTATTTAAACGTTACAAATTAGATTGCTATATCTACATGGTCGCGTAGCAACCATAGTTTGCGAATTTTTATAATTTTCCGTTCCATTTCGAAACATTTTCGAACAGCAAGAAAATCTCGATTTACATTGGAGTTCCATTTAGCCTCACCGCTTTTTCAAGAAGTGCTACAACTCTGATACACAAACTGTAGTATTCATTTCACCTGAAGATGGTAACTGTACGTTACGAAAAGTGCTCGTGAACATTTTATATTTACAATTTAATAATTCATTGTGGTAACGTCACAACACGTAAGTGATTTTACATTAATTATTATGGAAAACCATTATGTATTAAATTATTACTAATATGATATATATTATGATGATAAATATTACTCAGATGCAACAAAAGATGTCTAACGTCTTTAGATAAATACATATAACTCTGTTTTGCTTAAGACATGAAAGAGATTATGCTATTTAAAAACAGAGTAGAATTATTAGTTATTTATCGAATTATCATACGTAGTTACGTGTTGATTTTAATTTATATTTAAAATGGAATGATGTTTTAATGTCTTTAATTTGTTTGTTTAATTTTAAGATGGCTCTTAGGTGATTTTGTTGTGTTTGGAAATGGTTAACCATATAATCGGATTTAGTTCCCTATGCAGTGGAGCGTCGATTATCCGACTCGATTGGGGATCTCAGGTTGGTCGGATAACCGAAAAGAATAAAAAAATACATTATTAGTATAGTATGTTAGTATAAGGTTCCAAAAATTGAAAAACATGCTGTTAAATCCTTATTTAGATCAGATTTATTATTCAGTTTTTTCATAGGTAAAATATTATTATTTAAGTAAATATTTTACCAGAGGATTATTCATCCTATATGATGATCTAAGCATGAGCATCATCAACTGGTAAGTTTT